GAGGGGGGCAAGGGGTAAGGCGCTTGCCATTCAGATAGCGCTGTGATCTCCTGATGTTTCTCACCATGCAGGTACCGGTGAGGTCTGTCCAATGGCGGCGGCAGCGGCGGCAGCAGCAGCGGCGGCGGCGGCGGCAGCGGCAGCAGCTGCTGCATCAGTGGCAGCCCCTCCCACAGCTGTGGGTTCCCTCTCGGGGGCTGAGGGGGTGCCTGTGAGCTCTCAGCCACTTCCCTCCCAGCCCTGGTGAGCTCCAGGTTGGTGAGGGGAGAGGGGAGAATGGAGGAAAGTCCCTTGGTACCATCTCCTTTTCCCCCTCTCTCTTCCCACCAACTTCTCACTGCTTCCCTCACCACCCAAAGCCTCCTGAAGGAAAGGAGGAAGAAATGTTTTCTTAGGGGAATTCACTAGGTTTTAACGATTTGTTTCTCCTGCTCCTCTCTTCTCCCTATCAGACCTGACCCTGCACACACCTGTCCCCTTGGTTGTGTTAAAGCCCCCTGGACAGTGGATAGGGGTGGCAGAGGACAAGAGTGGCCACTGCCCTCATCCCCTCTTCTCTTTGTAAACCACTGCCCTACCCTTCCAGGGATTTGTGAGCCTTCTCCCTTGATGGTCCTTCTTGCTCTCCTCCTTCCAGTCCTGCCCTACTGTCTGCTGCCCCTCCCTGGGGAATTGGTGCTTTTTTTTTTTTTTTCAGGGGGAGGGAGGAGAGGAAGGAGGGGAATCAAAGATTCTGTCTCAGAGAAGCAGGAAAAGGTGAGATTGGAGAAGGGGCAGAAGCAGGGAAGTTAAAGGTTATACTTTTATAAGGTGGGGTCATTTGGGGTCAGGCCCTAAGCACCCTACTTGAGAATCTGTCAGGGGGAAACAAGTCAAGGGGAGCAAAAGAAGGAGCCACTAGGGCCAGAGGCAGGACAAGAGATGGAACCTTAGGGGGCCAGGGTAAATGGGAGGATCCAGGGGGTAGAGGTGCTTCCTGGGGGTGGGGGAATGCAGCTGCAGTGTCTCCCCCTTCCCTCTTCCACCCCAGCTCCAGCCTGGCCTTTTCTTTTCATCCCTCTCCCCCAAGACAGAAGCTGTGGCCCTGGCCATGTCATCGTGTTCCTGTGTCCCTTGCATGTTCCCCACCCTTCACCCCCTCCTTTTGTGCAGATCCCATAACAATAAATTTTAAATAAAAACCTGGCTCTGGCTCTGAATTGAATTGCTGTCACCAAGACTCCTAGTCTCATCTTCAAGGAGTTTCTTCTTGGGCCTGGTATCAGTCCTGGCCTTGCTCTGCCCTGTGGCTCTGGCTCCTCCCTCCCCAGACGCAGCACCAGTGTGAGGCCAAGGCTCCAGTGGCTGTGGAGAGCAAGTTCCAGGACTCCCAGGTCTCTAGGGAATACCCAATCTGGACAGACCTAAAATAGCCAGTGGAGGTTTAAAGAGACCTGGGTTAGAAAAGCAAACAGTTGCTGGATCCCAGCCAAATACCTGTACACCCTTAAGGACCTGAGAGGTGAGGGTGGATGACGTAGCTACAGAAAGGCTGGGGACGTCTGAGCCCTAGGACTGGGAGCAGCAGGTTGAGAATAAAAACTGCATTTGTCTCAGTCTTCGCATGGCGCACCCTGCCTCCTCAGGTTCCTCTGCCCTAGCCCCCTCCAGCTGTTCCAGACTGCCCCTGCAGCCCCTGCTCTGCCCTTTGGAATTCCTTCCCCAGTCCTTGTTCTTTCCAGGCACCCTTTCCTTGAGCCTTCCAGTACCCATTTCTGCTGCTCCTTGGTAGGAGTTTGTTCTGCAGGCTCCTTTCTCTTGAAACCCCACCCTGCAGCCGCCAGAAGTTTTGCCTCATCTCCCTTCCTCTTTCCGCTTGTAGGGGTTCCTACACCCGGTCCTGTCTCCTCTCCCTGGTCCTGTCTCTCCTCGCAGACCCCTCTCCGTTTCCCCCAACCCCCTGCCTCTGCCAGGACCCCCGGTGACCGTTGGTGGGAGGGGCCCAGGGCTTGGGAAGGGGGCACCCCCAGGAGATGCGCGTGGGTAGGGGTAGGGAGCTGGCGCGAGTGGTCCCCCCGCCGGTTGCCTGGGTAACGCGGGGCCTGGCACGCGTGGCTCCCTTGGGCTGGCCGGGAGGGGCTGGAGGCGTGCGAGGGGCGGGGGCAGTGTGCGCGGCTGCAGAGCGTAGGGGAGGGGACCTGAGAAGAGGGAGAGGAGGGGACGAGCAGAGCGGAGGGGAGACCCGCCGCCTCCCTCCCTCCCTCGCGCGCCGACTCGCTCCCTCCAGGGCTGCGGCTGCTGCAACGGCGGCGGTGGTGGCAGCAGCAGCAGCGGGAGCAGTCTGGAGGCCGACGTCGAGGTAAGTCGGGGATGGACTGAGGCTGCGGGTAGGAGTGGATGGACAGACGGCAGACGCCGGAGGGCTGCACGGGAATGTGGGCACCTGGCTGACTGGCTGGTGGTGCTGGGCGCCCCACGCCAATGAGAAGAGGAAGCACCAGGGGCACCCCGGGGGTGAGGGAATCCCTGGGAGAGGGGCTGAGAAGGGGCTCCAAGGAGATGCCCAGGACACCCAGGGAGGGGCAGGGGTGTCTGCACTCCAAACGCGCAGCAAGAAAACCGCACCCGCTGGCGCCTGGGGAGGAAGGGTGGATGCAGAAGGAGTGGAATGTGAGTATAGGGCCTCTGCTCAGTCTGCCAGAGTATGCAGGTGTCTGCACAGCTTGATTTTGAAGTGCTGGGGCATCTGTTAGGATCTGAGAGACTGGATCCAATTGGGGCAGGAAGAGATCATGGTGAGGGGCCTGTTTACAAAAGGGTTAATCTTCCTAGGGCATTCCAAGCAGAAGACTTTAAGCAGAGCACTACTCCCCAGAGATGTCCCACCCCAAGGCAAAGGAAACCCCAACTTTTCTTTCTCTCCCTAGAGGCAACCCAAGGCTGGCTCTGAGACGGAAGCGTATACCTTTTGGGCTGCAGTGCTGAGAGCCGCCTCTTTCCTTCTCTCACCAAGCCTGTCTCTTCCTCTTCCAGGATTTGCTGCTGTCTTTACTGCTCCATCCTCCCCACAGAGGCCCTCAGCCCTCTCCCATCTCAAGATGGCAGCCAGCAGCTCTCAGGTCTCTGAGATGAAGGGGATAGAGGAGAGTCCCCAGACCCAGGGAGAAGGGCCTGGCCATTCTGAAGCTGGAACTGGCCCTCTCCAGGTCCCAGCTAGGTTCCCAGATGAGCCAGAGGCCTTGGAACCAGGCCCAGACATCACTGGAACTCTAGAAACCACAGAGACCCCAACAGGGGCCCCAGAAACAGCCAGAGACCTCAGCTCAAGCCCAGGAGGGGAACCAAAGGCCAACTCCAGCCCCAAAGAAGCATGCCAAGAGCCAGCATCCAAGCCAGAAGTGAGCAAAAAGGCCATTGCAGACCAGGGGTCCGACCTGGAGTCTGCAGGCCTGTTTGAGCCAGCTTCAGAGCCTGTTCCCCAGGTGGACCCCCAATCAGACCTTCAGCTAGACCCCCAGCCAGGTTCCCAGCCCAGCTCCAAACCAGCCTTTCAGCCAGAGCTCCCTACCCAGGAAGACCCCACCCCTGAGGTCTTGACTGAGAGCATGGAGGAAAAGCAGGAGAATGGAGCAGTGGTTCCCCTGCAGGCTGGTGATGGGATAGAGGGCCCAGCCCCACAGCCTCATTCACCACTCTCAACAACACCTCCCCCAGCCAATGGGGCTCCCCCCCGTGTGCTGCAGCAGCTGGTTGAGGAGGACCGACTAATAAGGGCTCACAGTGGGCATCCAGGATCTCCCCGGGGTAGCCTGAGCCGTCACCCCAGCTCCCAGCTAGCAGGGTCTGGGGTAGAGGGAGGTGAAGGCACCCAGAAACCTCGAGACTACATCATCCTTGCCATCCTGTCCTGCTTCTGCCCCATGTGGCCTGTCAACATCGTGGCCTTCGCTTATGCCGTCATGGTGAGCCCCACGGGACCCTGGCCCAAGTCTGCTATGGCTCCCAGCTTCCTGCAATGGAACCAAGTCCCAGGAGTGGCCTTGCCTTCCCTCTCCGCATGGCTCTCACTTCCAAATTACAGGGCCTTTGCTTGCCTTTCCCTAGGACTTCACCCTGAGCCACCACTGCCCCACCCCTTCAGGTGGGAGGGATGTCCAGACATGTTTCACACAGCTTTGCTGACCTATGCTTTCCTCCCCCTGCCTCTCAAACTCTCCTCCCTCCCTTAACCACTGTCCACGGCCTGGCCCATCTCCTCTGGACAACCCTTTCACCTGAACTCTGCTGGGCTGGCTTCTCCTGACCTGGGCCATGGTGCCCCCACCACTCACCCTAACCCCAGTCCCGGAACAGTCTGCAGCAGGGGGACGTGGATGGGGCCCAGCGTCTGGGTCGCGTGGCCAAGCTCTTAAGCATCGTGGCGCTGGTGGGGGGGGTCCTCATCATCATCGCTTCCTGCGTCATCAACTTAGGCGGTGAGTAGGGGTCTGGGACAGGTTGGGAGGAATGGAAGGGTTGGCAAGGGCAGCTTTACTAATCCCTGCCCCTGCTCTCTCCTGTCTGTCCTCCCTACTTCTTGTTTGTCTTTCCTTGTCCCCCACCTCTGTCTCCGTCTCTGTCCCTCCCCTCTCCTCTCCCACAGTGTATAAGTGAGGGGCTCTGCCCTGCATTCCAAGACTTTTCTTCCTGTTGGGAGCTTCCTTGGGCCCATCCTCCCCTGCAGGGAGCCCAATCGATGGCCCAGGCCTGCACCCATAGGGACCAAGGGAGCCTGAGCAGCCTTGTTTACAGCTTCTCTCCTGCTCCTGCATCCTGCCAGGCTCCTCTGCCAACCATAGGCCTCCCTTCTCCCTGCACTGTTTTAACCTCTCTGGACTTCTGCCTGCAGCCTGTCCTGCCTCTTGGCCTCCCTTTCCCTGCACTTCTGGAAACCTCCCTGAACATTTCCCCAACTCTCTTTGCTCTCAGCAGCCTCCCTGCATCTCTCCCATCCTTCCTGCACTTCTTCCAATCCAACTTCCTGAATTCCTTGCACCTCAACCCTGGTCTCCCCCAGCCTTAACTTTGTCTTAGTATCTTCCCCCATTCCTTTCTTCCTTCTCTACTTTATCATCTCTCCTTCCCTCTCCACACCCTGCACCCCTTCTCTTCCTGCCTCATCTCCCCTCAGCATCCTCTCCACCCTCCTGCCACCGTTTATTCTGCAAAAACTCCCGCACGTAATAGGCTGGGGGAGGGCGCGATGTCAGGAGAGTACTCTCTAGCCCGGGCTCCGACTGTTCTCTGCTGAGTCCACCCAGGTCCAGAAGCCCACCGGGCGCCTCGGGGTCGCAGACCTAGCAAGCCCAGTCTCTGCTGTTTGCGGACTGGTGCGTGGGTGACAAGCACTGTTCCGAACACGCACCTGGAAGGAAGGGGCGCAGCTGTTGACCCTCTCTGGTCAGCCTAAGTTGACCTGCCTCTCCTGGGCTTTTTAACTCGATCGGCGAGTTTCTTAAAGGCCTCGGGGCCAGGGTAATTCACGTGTTTTATAACGAAAGAACTCCCAAAATAGGACCAAAGCTCCCAGCCGCAGGGAGCGAAAGAGGGGCGGGAACTACATAATTGTTTTCTAAGAGGAGACGGAAGGTTTGTTGCACGCGACAGTCCGCTAGGGAGGCGGGGACCGAGCTACGACGCAGTTCGGAGTTGGCGGGTTTTTTGTTTTCAAAAAAAAAAAAAAAAAAAAAAAAAAAAATCACCTGGTAGTTTTATATTAGCTGATTATAAAATGTTAATTTTCATGTATTCGATTAGAAGATAGTGATAGTAATCAAATTATATGACTCACATTTTCCTTTGGAGGTTTTGTAATAGTCTCCAAAACTTCTAAGATGGTGTTGTTCGTCTGTTTGCTTGAGAAT